CCCTGCCGCCCCTTCCCCACTCTCCATTTTTTTTCGTATGAACCCACTGAGTGAAGCACTAAGGAAAATAAAAACAACCAAGTTCATTGGAGTCAAATATAATGTTACAGTTATTGTTCCTAGGACATGGAACGTGTAAGTCTTAAAGATTAATAACCTGACATGCGATAATGTCCAAGACACTTCTCCTCGTCTGATGAATTCGGTGTTACATAAGCAAATCCAAACAAAACGACACATGCACACGCACACACACACACACACGCACACGCACACACACACACTCTCTCTCTCTCTCTCTCTCTCTCTCTCTCTCTCTCTCTCTATCTATCTATCTATCTCTCTCTCTCTCTCTCTCTCTCTCTCTCTCTCTCTCTCTCTCTCTCTCTCTCTCACTCACTCATTAATATAAAAAAAATTTTAAAACCAAAATAATCATAAACAAAGTACAACTGTAAACAAACTCAAACCAAACGAAACAATAAAAACCGTATCCCCGACTGCTCTACAAGAACGGACGCTACTGCAAAAGATCGGGTCCTGCGGGTGAACCGTGCCAAGCCGATGTCAGGGACAATCACTCTGCCCCTCTGTCAGCTCCGGACGTGAGGGAGCCAACTGCGGCTCTGGGATGCCGATGGACGACAGAACCCCACCGGTCTCCCATCTCTCCGGCCACAAACGCCTTCGCAGTGGATTCCTACTTCTGTCTGTCTGTTTGACTGTATGCCATTCTTGTGGTCTCACGGTTTGTCTCTTTTTTGTGCCTGCCCATTTCTGTTGCATCTATTTTATGTGCTGCCTCTTTGCCCGAGTGCCTTTTTGTGTGTTTATCTCTTTTTTTGTTTGTTTGTATCCCCCTCTGGTTCTCTCCTCCCCCTCCGCCACCTCCTCTATCTCTCTCTCTCTCTCTCTCTCTCTCTCTCTCTCTCTCTCTCTCTCTCTCTCTCTCTCCCTCCCTCCCTCTTTCCTCTCTTGTCATTTTCAACCTAATACACTGTGAGGTAAACGCATACCCCTTTTATTTAAGTTTAACCTGTTCTTCATCTCAAGAAAGTGCAAAGTTAAACGACCTCAAGTGCTGTCACGCTCAGCGGCATATGACGCGGCGACATTTTTAGCATTATTATATTCCTGAGTTATTTCTTCATTTTTAATGCTCCTGTTACCTGTTGTAGACTAATAGAATATTTTAAAACTAAAACAAAAGTTTACTAGTCTATTCAAAATTTATTGCATATGTGTGTTTTCAAGGGTTTTTCTTTCTTGTATTTCAACGTAAAACTTTTTTAAGCTGGTGCTAATAAGGCAGACGGTATAAGGATCAGAATGGAGCACATTACAATTCACTGTAACCTCAACAAGCAATACAGTCTCTATAAACCTCCCAACCCCACCACTACCCCTTTCCTCTGCCTCAATCTATTGATATCGTGTGTCTAATGAGCCTCATCGTTAATTGGCCCCTTCCCTGTTCCCCGCAACATGAAATAATCGCATGTTTTGTTTGTTTGTTTGTTTGTTTTTTCTTGCGTCTTTTTTCACTTAGCATCAAACACAAACGGAAGCAACAAACAAAAGACGACGTCTTCAATAACAATAATTGTGACTTTAAAAAAAAAAAGAGAAATGGTGTGCACTTCCGTCATTGCACTTAAGACAATGTTGGAATCTGACTGATTCGATCCTCCATGTTTGGAACATCCCGGGTTGTATGGGACACCGCGTCGAAGAAATGCAAAAATGAGAGAATATTTCATAAAATATTTTCCCAACTTTGGAATCGAGCTCACATATTGTGAGTGGAAAGGGAATAGCCATACCACTAGGCAACAAATCACTACCTCAGAATTACAAAGTTATGTCTGACATGTTTGGCCGTTTTGAGTTACAAGATCATGAGGTATGAAATTAGGGGGAAATTAAGTTCCATCTGTTCTATCAAAATCGTAAGATTATTCCGAGTCGTTGTCAAGATAGTAAAGAATTGCATTCGATCCGATAAAAAGCTTGACATGGTGTGAAGCTCAAATTTTTTATCGTCAGGTTTCTCAAAAGCTAGGTGTTGAGCAGATAGAATTTTGTAATTCTATGATAGCGGGATATCTGTGGTGCCCACAACACGCAAACAACCCCCCCCCCCCCTTCAACCCCCCGAACCAATAGCACTTGTACGAGCAACAGAAGCGTTGCTTCCGCCACGACTAGCTCTACCTTCCCACGACTCACTCTGAAAAACACGCGCGCTACATAATCCTTGGTGTGTCGCGACATCCCCTCTCGTCACCCGACCAGACGGCCTTGCCTTGCGGCGCACCACGACATTCCAGCACCAGGACACCGGCTATCTTTAGAAACAACTTACCTCCGTCGTCGCTGAAAAACACACGGCCTCGTAGTGGTCTCAAGTAGGAAATGTTATCGACCTGATGAGTATGAATGGATGAACAAGAAATGAGGAAAGATAATGGGGCACAGATTTCAACCGCCGACCCCTCCCCCCTCCCCCCCCCCCCCCCCCCCCAACCCTTTCCTTCCCCTGTCCTTTGCCCTCCCGTAGCTGGAGACTCCTACTCCCTTGTTCGCGACTTCTTTGCCTGAGGAGAAAGAAAACAGTTTAGATTTATATTGATCAAGAAGTTGTTTTTTAATGCTCATAGAGAGGCAGACGGATGTTGAAACGTAGATGCTGTTTTTTGGACTAGGAAACCGTGTGGAAAACATGAAGATAACTCTATATTATTATTGTCTCGTATTTCGTCTTCTATCACATTCTGTAAGCGATCAATTGCCTTTATCTATATAGTGTAAGTGTGTGTGTATGTATGTGTGTGTGTGTGTGTGTGTGTGTGTGTGTGTGTGTGTGTGAGAGAGAGAGAGAGAGAGAGAGAGAGAGAGAAAGAGAGAGAGAGAGAGAGAGAGAGGGAAAGAGAGCGAGAGAGAGAGAGAGAGAGAGAGAGAGAGAGAGAGAGAGTAGGGAGTTCGAAACCTAAAGAGCAATGACCACAACAAGAGACGCAACGTCCCTGCTGGTGGGGTGCCTCTCATACGCCAGAACCTCTCAGGAACAGGGATCAAACCTTTTCTTCTTACTTACCGTGAACCTTCTTTAAAGCCAATCCGGTTTTTAAGAAAAAAACTCAACCTTATTCTTTAAAACAATTGGTTTTATACTTCTAGAGCCATATTATAATCTCATTGTAATAATAATTATTCCTCCGTTGATGTCTTACGATTACCAATGCCTCCGCAGAAGAGAATATTTCGAAAGTGAAAGAGAAGGAGTAAACGTTATGATGACTTGTAGCTTCTGCAGTGGTCACTGCAGACCAATTTTGACAGAAGAAAGTTTTTCACATTTTGAGCATTCAAAAGCTCCACTTTCACATAATGTGTATGTGCGCAGCTTGCGGGTTTATCTCTTGGTTTCTGTATTTTTTTTTTAATTCGTGAAGCCTCATATTATGATTGGCTGCCCACGTGAGCTGCTCCTCTCCAACTGGTTCTGTCAGGAGCTAGACTTTCCCATGTCGAAAGATTTACGGGAGAGCCTAGCTCTTGACAGTGCCTGACAGGTCTTATTGGAGAAAAGAACAGACAACAAACTGTACAATCCCAGGACGTCAATAGTCCTCAAAATAGAATGACACTACAGTTTTTCAACATGACCCAGCAAGTCAAAATTGATGTAGGCTTAATTGGGCAATTCTCTTCCGTTTTGTTGTCAACACTCAAGAAAAAATAACAAAAAACAAAACAAAAAAGACCCTCCAGCTTGCTGGAATTTTTATAAATTGATTCCTCCCTCAAAGAGTCACCATGACGCCAGTTCTACCTACAGTTTCCCTTCACCCTCAGAAATCATCTCTGTTTGCGGTACCGATTGAAAGCTGTCCCAGTCACGATTATGTCTTAGCTTGTTATTACCCGTTTTGATCGATGTTCGGAAGGGGCCACCTCTCCTTTCTACGAGGTGTTCGCACAAAGAAAGTCGATTCTAGAAACACAATTACAGATGTCAGCTGCCAGCCCATGCTTACGTATGTTTGTACAGCTAAGAATAACGTAATCGGCGCAAAACTGTAATCGATGTCACTTTGGCTGGAGTGGTAATAGTTGCTCACAAGAAAAAAAATAATTACAAGCGGCTGTTTTTCTTCTTTTTCTTCCTTTGTTTTCTTTGCTTTTGCTTTTCTTTTGGGGTTTTTTTTAAAGTATTATTTTTTTTTTTAAATAGAGGATGATTGCTTTACCAGCGTCTTCCAAGGTCGGTTGCTAAAATTATCTGTCTACCTGTCAGCTTGGCTGAGGGTTTTTTTAATTGTCTGGTTTGAGTTGAACAGCCGCTAGGCTTGAATAGGTTATACATCATCCAATGGCGGTGGCGCCTGCATCTTATGGTTTCTGTAGTAAGTTTGTTTTGTTGTTCGGGGGTCTTTTGTACTTTAGTTTCTTTTGTGTGCGTTTTTTTTTTTTTGGGGGGGGGGGGTATTTTTAAAGGGGGGGGGGGGGGGATGTCTCACATGAGACCATCTGCTGGCAGGTTGGCATATTTAAAAAAGTGGGGTAGAGGACATACGCTCAGCACGAAAAGAATTGTCGCTTCTTCCTTAGTAGGAAGTTCGGGTGATTCCGTCGCATCCCCTATCTACATACTAAAGCGCACACACACACACACACACACACACACACACACACACACACACACACACACACACACACACACACACACACATAGACAAACACACACACACACAAAAGGGAGAGAGAGAGAGAAAGAGAGAG